AAATAGCGCGAGTAATACGACGTCTTTATCTTCTCCCTAGACAAAACAGTTCCGCCATTTTCCGCCTATTTGTCTAGGACTAGGACTAGCTAAATACGGTCAGGGACAATGAGTCTTACTAAGATTAAGAACAGGGGAGTAAGAAAAAGGGTTTCACCTAAAGTGCTTATTCTAAAAATCCACCGGCCTGATCTTCATTTCAGCGCTCTTAATGGAGCGAATGCCACCCCATTTCATGGTTCCACCATCCCCTCCGATCGCATAGACACCATTCAGGTTGCTCTTTCTACACTCATAGAACCACCAGGCTCCTCTTATTACATCGACTGTAGCACAGTTTACATAGGCTACGTCGTTATCCTGATCTTTTGTAGTGAATTTATGGCCATCATGATCAGCCAGAGAATTTCCAGCGGTTCCTAAACCGAGCATTACAGAAACAAAAATAAGATTAAGTATTCCCATGTCGCAAAGATGATTTGCGCTTATAAGCGCATATTTGCGCTTATATGAGCTTTTAAAGTTACGGCGATTAGTATCATAACGTTTTAGAAACTTTTATGATTACAAAATGTGACAAACGTTACTANAAGTGCTTATTCTAAAAATCCACCGGCCTGATCTTCATTTCTGCTCTCTTAATGGGGTAAATGTTACCCCATACCATAGTACCATTGTCCGCTCCGTTCCGATAGACACCATTTAGGTTGCTCAGTTTACAGTCACCGTACCACCAGGCTCCTCTTATTGGATTTACTGCGGCACAGTTAACTGTAGATCTGTCGTTATCCTGATCTTTTGTAGAGAATTTTTGGCCATTATGATAAGTGAACTTATCTCCAGCAGTTCCTAAACAAAGCATTAGAGAAACAAAAATAAGATTAAGTATTCCCATGTCCCAAAGATGATTTGCGCTTATAAGCGCTTATTTGCGCTTATATGAGCTTTTAAAGTTACGGCGATTAGTATCATAACGTTTTAGAAACTTTTATGATTACAAAATGTCACAAACGTTACTACTACAAAGATAAGATAGTGCTAATAGGCCATTTCCGAGTTGCCGCGTGCCTCAGTGTCAAAACGAGTCTTCGTGCGAAACCATTCATATGAAAATGTGTTCCGCCTACATGTTCATTTTCATG